ACTCAGGGTGTCTATCTGCAACAATAAAACTACAGGGGGTATATCCACATTAAACCATAGGAGAAAACTCAGTTAAGCAAATTCCAGCAACTTAACAAGTAGGAAGAGACTGAGCAGAAGCCAAAGCAGAGATACTTGCTCCAGATTCACAATACCGCAAGTATGAACATCGCCCAGATGACCCAACGAGAAAACTCGGAGATGCGTTACTCGAGCTAGCATTATAATGGTTCATAAATCTTGAACTGTGAGGAGAGGGCAAAGGAAGCCCCACAGAATATCCAGAAGCAGAAGCAGAAGCAGAAGCAGAAGCAGAAGCAGAAATACTTGCTCTAGATTCACAATGCCTCAAGTATGAACATTGACCAGATGACCCAACAAGATAACTCGGAGATGCGTTGCTTGAATATCTCAACCCTGCAGACCTTTGAAATGGTGTACTCCTAAGATCTACAAAGCTTCGGTTTATATGTATGCTAGAGGTATTATTATTATAGGAACTATATGAGTTAACCATATTATGAGTATTAGACAATGAATGATTACGAGAAGCTGGGGGGATCCAAGGAGGCAGGAGGAGCATCGATACGGGTGGAGATGAGGAGGCAATTGGTATTGATGGAGATGATGCTAAAGATGAATGGCAAGATAGTAAATTGACAGATGATGGAGTTGGGGCACCGGAGGAAAGTAACGGAGTAGATTCTGAGGCCGGAGGGATGTTAATGCTTGTCCTGGCATCTCGTTTGCACACAGGGCAAAATGTTCTCCATGCCGTGAGCCAAGAATCGACGCAAATTGCGTGGAACTCTGAAAAAAATTCAAAATGTAGCGTCAATATAAACCAGCAAATGACTGAACAAATGGAAGAAATATAGAATATAGGGTCAATTGCGGATCTCCCTGTAGTATCGCTGTTTTAGACTTACTACCCCTGTAACTTCATTGTTGTAGATATACCCCTGGGTTAAACCTTTGTTTGACTGTTTTACCCTTAAATAGACTCACTAATTCACTCAGGGACAACATCTCACAAAATTTGTGAGAGGGTAAAAGAGTCAACAAGGAGGGGAGGGGGGGCAACCCAGGGGGGATCTCTCTGCAACAATAGAACTACAAGGGGTAGTAAGATTAAAACAAAGATATTACTGGGGGTCTATGTGCAATTGATAACGCATATACAGTAGGTCTTACAGGTCATATATAAAATTAGTTCTATAGCGTCCAAGAATTACATGAGCATAATGAGCTATTAGCCCAAAGTTCACTGGAGAAAACATCAAGTGACTAATAGCACAAATCATCAAATCCTTATTATCAGGAAGAGTTCACAACTTTGCCATCTTTCTTCCAGACAATCCACCAGTTATTTTTCTCTTTTCTTTTTATTTTTTTGGGCTGAATTCTAGTTCCTCTCCTCTTACTGTCTGCAATACCTTCTCTGTGCTAGTCTGCGTCATCTACTATGCCACAGGTAATGCTTAATTACTTACTGACTTCTCGGTACGCCATGGGAGTTTTGTCTCAATGTTTTCTCAAAATGTCAATAAAGTGGGCATCATTACTCATCATTGGCAAATAACAAGTCTCTTTGACTTGAAATACATCATAGAAAACCTTAACAGTGTCCATAGACTTGATGCAAGTGATTGGAATTCTCACACAAATGCCATCGTCAAGGCTAATATTGTTGATTGTATCATATCATTTTGTGCATGTTTTGCAAGTAATGAAAAATTAACAGGATACAGGATCAATGGAGCAGATAATTTGCCAATAGTGTCAGTAATACGTAATGGTACAGATCCAGTTTGTGTTCAGTTTCTTGCATATGCACTTAAGCATACCACCCACCTAAAATGCATGTCGTTACTGCATATCTGATACTAACTCGGATGAAATATTTCAGTCTGTGTACCAATAGTGAAAAAAAAAGTGTCCTTAAACCAATGGTAAGACTTAGAACTATAGATCATCAATAGAAAGGAGATGAAGGATTCTTATATTGATAGGTAACAGAGAGAGTATATCTAAATATAGGGAAATAATAATGGCGATTGACATGGAAAAGCGTACATACTGTGACAACATGGTAGAATTCGAAGCTTTTCTCCAGTACTATAGTCTTCAAGGCAAATAGCACATGCGCTTGAAGTACAATTGTCTTCTAAAACAGTTGTGAATCTCACACTCGGCATTGCTTTCACCAAACGACGGCTCATCCCATGGAACTCTTCAACCTGAGCTCTCCGTCTTTCACGTCTTGTGTGGTGTTTACATACAAAAAAGCATGTAGCCAGCACAGTAAACATGGCAAGTAGTGATATGAAAGAAACAACCATTATAGACCATGGTGTGTTTTCAAAGGTTGGTAAGACCCATGTCTCAACATCAGTATCACCTGCATACTTTTTCAGTACCTTGCCTGAGGCTCTGGATATAAAAACAGCATGTATTTTTACACCACCTGGAGTTCCTCCCACTGAATCGTGCCATAGTGAAATTCAGTTAGTTTTTAGGTATCAGAAAGCAAATTCTGACTGTAAAATAGAATAACTAGGCTTGACAGATATGCTAGTAGAAAAGTAAATTTGACCTACAATAGCTCCTATTGTTAATTCATAACAGTTAAAGCTTTCACTTCCCTTGTAACAAGTCAAATAAAGAACTGCATGAATGCACGTAGAACATTTCTTTGTTTATGATATAATAAATAAAAGATCAGACTTATGACGGTATGCAAGAGGTTGACAGATAATCCATCTTGCTTTATGTTCTAAGTGAGCACCATTCTTCACATGCACATAACAGTTATTTTTCAAATTTAATATAAAGCAGTTGTTAAGATGGAAACAAATAGACGGTAATAATTGTATGGATAGGGGTAAAAGTGAGTAACGTGAGAAAGGTGGAGCAGATGAGAGCCTAGGATTTAGAACAGTCTCGAAGTCTCCTACCCATTCAAAATAGAAGGCCAGGCTCCTTTCAGTATTAGGAGGGTCAGCACAAGCTAGATGAAGTATTTGAACTAAAATTAGATGAACTGAATTTGGACTTGGACAGGTAGGATCAAATTATTCAATTTGCATAGCCTTCAATTGCACTCATGGTACAAAGTAATGGATCAGGTCTCTGCCTTCTCTATCTCTGAACACCAGAAGCTAAAGCAAGCTATGAATTAAATAGCCAGGTTAAGTAAGTTAGTCAGGTTCCTCAGCATAAATAACTGTGAAAAAGGATAAGTGTCCAAGATTTCCCTACTGGAGTGTTGAGTTCCGCTCCTATACTGATTCTAGACTACGGGTAGAATTGGGATTTGGGCAGGTGGGCGGGTGGGGGTGGGGCCGTGGGGCGTGGGGGGGGTTGATGTTGCAGAAATTTGTCTAGTAGTATGCATGAATTGGTATATTCACATCTACACATTATGTAGCCTTTACCTTAAAGTTAAAGTACACTTGTAGTAGCCCCTGTTACAAAAAGCCCGCCGGCCCGGCCGGGTCGGCCAGACCCGGTCCCCTCGCGGCCGCCCGGCCCGGAACAGTTCCGGCGTCGGGCAACGAAACCGGTCGGGCAGCCGAACCGAGCTCGACCCGGGTGACCGTTGCGGGCAAAAATCCGGGCCGGGCCGGGCCACGAAAACAGTCACCAAGGGTGATCGTTTTCGCCAAACGGTCACATTGGCCGGGCCGGGCCGGTCAAAACGGTCATTTTTTGCGTTTTGACCGTTTTACCTCTTAAAACGGTCAAAAAACGACTATTTGGTGAGAGTTTTTTGGTCATTTGCCTAGAAGGCTACCTCTATAAATAGAGGAGGGTTTCACTTTTTCTCCTCACACCAAAACTCATATGCTTCTCTCTAATACTCTCTTATACAATCTTATACTCCCTTATACTTTCTAAATTCTAATCCTTTCATCAAATGGCTTCTGGATCTGATTATGAAGAGAAAAATCTATCTCCTACCGATATTAAAATGAGTCCTCCTACAACAACAGTTACTCTTCCTATCAGTGGTAATCCTGAATCCGTTGGCGACGAATTTGCACCAAGAGCTCCTAAAAGGCCAAAATCCGGTGTGAAATTTTTTTGAAAAGATAAACGTCACCAAGGATGAACACGGTAGGATCCTCACCCAGAAGGCTAAATGTGCGTTGTGCGGCCGAACTTCCCAAGCTCATTATAAGAGCGGCACCAACCACCTCAAACGTCATATAGAAAAACACAACAAAGGTTAGACTCCTCAAAATGATATCCGACAATCTATGATTTCTCAATCCTCCTCTTCTGGTAGACTCGGTACTTGGAATTACGACGCTGTCTGAGCCAGGAAATGCGTCATCAGGTTTATCATTCTTAAAAACATTCCTTTTAAATTAGTAGAAGATGAATTTTAAGATTTGTTTAGAGATGGTTTTTATCCCAATTTAAAAAAAAAATCTCGTCAAACCTGTCAACGTGACATTTTAAAACATTATCAAACGGAACAAGGAAAAATAATTTCTTATTTTAAAATTTTAAACTGTAAATTTTCTTTAACTTCTGATATTTGGACATCTAGAACACAAACAGGTTATTTATGTATCACAGCACAATGAAAATTGACAAATATTTAAAAGAATTATTTTTTTATTACAATTAAAGAGTCACATACTGGTATTAATGTAGTCAATTTAATAGTTGAAGAACTTATGAAACTAGAAATTGATCAAAGAATATTTTCTCTTTCACTAGATAATGCAAGTACTAACAATGTAACTATAGATTTTCTGTCATTATCCTGTCATGGTAAACTTTTTCATATTAGATGTATATGTCATATTTTAAATTTAATTGTTCAAAAGTGCATTTACTAAAATTAAACACATGATAGAAAAGTTTAGAACAGTTGCTTATATGCATACTGCTTCTGAACAAAGACTTAAAAGATGAAAATAAATGTGTAAAAGAAAAAATATTAAGGCTATTCTAAAAGATGTTGATCATAGATGAAATTCCACCTATGCAATGATAAGTGTAGCTATAGAATATAAAGAAATTAGAAATAATTTTATAAATTATTTTGCTTCTAGTTCTAGCTCTGGTAACTCTTAGGCCCCGTTTGGCAAAGGGTTAATGAAGAGGGGTTAAAGAGAATGATTAATGTACTTAGCCCATTTGATAATCCGAATGACTAAATTATTAACCCGTTAAATAAGTTTTATTTTAGCCCTTATTCCATCTAAATAGGAGTATTAGTAAACCCCTCATTTTGAGGGGTTAACTCATTTTAACCCCTCTAGAGGGGTTAACTTAACCCTTTTATATTTTTTATGTTTGGCAAATTATGGAGGGTTAACTCACTTTAACCCTTATATAGTTTTGTTGTGTTTGGCAGGTTAAGAAGGGGTTAAGTCTCCTTAACCCCTCTCTTAACCCTTTGCCAAACGGTACCTTATGGAATAACTGGAGATGAATGGACAATTATATGTAATTTAAATGAAATGTTACAAGTTTTTTATGATGCTACTATGTTATTATCTGGTTGTTATTATCCAACTATTACTTTAGCTGCTTTATAAATTTTAAATATTCAAAAAAAATTAACAAATATCGTATGAATGATACTTTGGGAAGTATAATTTTTCAAATGGAGAACAAATTTAATAAGTATTTTAGGCCTATTCCTCATATTTTTGATATGGGGTTCTTATTGATCCATGTTTAAAGGATATTGACCTTCGAAGTTTGTTATAATCATTGTATGATAGACATGTTATAAAGTTAGATGATGGATCCAGTATTACTGATATTTCTCATCATTTAGCTATTAGAAATTATTTTTAAACCTTATATGATGAGTACGCAGCTAGACATGGTGTAGCTGCACAACAATCTGTAGCGTCGGCGCCTTCGAGCTCAAGCCGAGATAAAAGTGTAAGTTTTGATAGGCATGCAATGGTAACTGGGCTAAATGGTGGATCTGGACTTGGATCATCGTTGGAACTTTCTGAAATAGATGAATATTTATCTGCTTCTTTAGTTAAATGTCAACAAAATGCTTTAGATATTTTGTAATGGTGGAGAGTATATGGATCAGTTTTATATCCTATACTTTCCACCATGGTTCGTGACATACTAACAGTGCAGGTTTCGAATGTAGCTTCGGAATCCGTCTTCAGCACATCAGGACGTTTGATCGACGACCACAAGACATGCTTAGATCGGTATACTGGACAAGCGATGATGTGCTTACAAGATTGGTGGAGGTACGAGAAACGAATACAAGGCATCGATTGGATGGCTAGAATTAAAGATAAATTTGAAGAGTTTGGACTAGCAGATAAATATAAAGATTAAACAATATTCATCAAATTATAATTTTTATTTCTTAGCCAAGGTTATTGATAGCGGATCGCGTCGCGTCGCGGCGAGGTACCGCTAAGGCTATTGCGCGCTATTGCGGCGAAATAGCGACAAATAGCGCACAGTCAAATAGCGGACAAATTTAAATATATTTAAATATCCTAAATAATAAGAAAATTCATAAAAAAATCTAAAAATTCTACAAATGCATACTTAATGCCTAAACATGAAGTAGATGTGTACAAGAACAAGAACAAATAACAAGAACAAATAAATAAACAATAACAATATAAGTACTATAACGGTAGAACTTTATTTCTTCACTCTTTATTCATACAATAACAATATAAAGTACTATAACAGTAGAACTTTATTTCTTCAACTCTTTATTCATACAATAAATAAACATGTTATATTTCTTCATTCATTCAATAACTCAATAAGTTATAAATTTATAATGATTTGATTGATTTCAAATGTTGATTATACAGGTTTTCTGGAAGTTGGAAATCTCAAGGGCACTAATCATTTCGGTGCAGCTGCTGGTTATGAAGATCAACCCGTTTATCGCATACATATTAATTTGTTGTAAATTTCTTGTATTATTAGTAAATAACAATTGATAAGCTTGTTGTATGAGTATGAATGAAACTATGAAAAAAATCAAGAAATATAGCATCATTGATTCTCGAAATACTGCAGTCCTGAACGTGATGGAAACACCATTTATGGAATACATATTAATTTGTTGTAAATTATTTCACGTATATTTTCATGTAATCATGTGATTAAAGGTTAAACATCTGTAAATATCAAACAAGAGTCCAAGACAGGTGTGCTAACGTGCCATGTCTAATAAAGATGGAAACACCATTTATTATTGACCTTCTTCAGAGTTATTCTTGTTTATTATCTAATATAGGTAAAGGAACAGAAAAATTAGTTATGCAACTATGCAAGTTGGAGAAAGCAATTCAGGCACAAAAGGAATGTGAGATGAGGTAGGAATTCCCAAAATTTGGACCTAGTCCCATAATTTTATACATTTTCCTCTGTGGCAGATCTAGCCAACAGAGATGGACGCCGGAGCCTGGAGCCTGGAGTGGAGATGATGACGTCGATGGACTCCGGAGCCTGGAG